AATTCGGGTTCAGAACTAATATAAAAAAAAAAGTTGCGATAATCAACAAAATTCTGAAATTGAAAGAGTTTTAGAAATTACATTTAAATAAAATAAATAAAAATATAAATTAAAACTATAAAAGAATTTTATTTTTCTTGACTATTTAATAATTTTGGTTGTGGATGGAATAGTATTATAACTGATATATTGATTGAATAGCTTTCCTAATTTTAAAGTGTGGCATGATTTTGGAATAACTCCTGGTACTATGGGTTGGTTAAATTGATCTCCAAATGTAAGGGTTTTAACTGATGATGGGATATCACCTGGGGTAAGTGGTTGATTAAAGTATAAACCAAAAATAAGCTCGCAGATTGATGGTGGAAGCAAACCTTTAATTGGATGGTTGAAATTAAGACCAAATGTAAGACTAGAAACACTTAATGGGATGGACTTAGGTGCGATGTCCCTATCAAAATTATGGCCAAAAATTAGAGATGTACATGACGAAGGAATACAACCAGGTGATAGGGCTTGGTTAAAAAATCTTCCAAATTTAATTGAAGTACAACTTAAAGGTATGCAACCAGGCTGAATGATCTGATTAAATGTGTGGCAAAACTCTAATTTTTGAACTGAAAATGGAATACAACCTAAAGGTAGATAACCGGTATTATTTTGGGCACTAAGTAAACAAAATTCTTTAATTGAATCTGGTATACAATTTGGTGTTGAAATAAATCTTAGTATTGGATTTTGATTACTTGTAAGTCTAGTTACTGAAGTTGGGATTGAATGTGGCCCTATTGTATTATTATAACCTAGTCCAAGATTTAGATCAGTTACAGATGATGGAATTAAGCCGGATGCCAATGGTTGATTAAATAGATCACCGAAAGAAAGGGTTTTAACTGAAGATGGAATAACACCCGATGGAGCTATAGGTTGGTTAAAATTTAAACCAAATATGAGAGTAGTAACTGAGTCTGGAATAACGCCAACTGGTCCAACCGACTGATTAAATGCAGGACCAAAACGAAGGATTTTGACAGACATTGGAATTGCACCGGGCTTCAATGAGGCTACAGTATTTTTTTCTATTATAAGTTCTTTTACAGACAATGGGATTGAATCGACTATAATATCCTGCACTGCATTTTTAAAGATAAGCTTTGATACTGAATTGGGGATATATCCTTTTGGTAATGGTTCAATACCTTCATACTGTAATATTGTTATATAGTCTCTATTACTGTAATTTAGTAACTCTTCTTTATAATGAAATTTAACATTGTAGTTTAAAGATAATAATCTATAATATTCTAAAATTTGATCTTTTAATACTACTGATCTCCAAACTCTCCAAAATAATTTTTCGCCATGATTAATATTATTATCATTACTATTACTGTTATTAATATTGCTGTAATCTATATTATCTTCAATACATTGATTTAATATTTTTTGAAACTTTAGAATTTCCCCAATTGTTTTAAATCCCAATTCCTTTAATAACTTGTCAAATGAACTTTTTCCTTTTCTTTTGTCCATTTCGATTAATGATTCCCCATCAATTTTTTGATTCTTGAAATTTTCAATAATACACGGACTAATTTTATTTTGTCTTAACCATAAAGAAACTTGAATAATATCCCAATCAGAAATATAATTATTCATTTTGTTTAAAATAATATTATATTATTTTTTTTATTTATTTATTTGTTTATTTATTTAATTTTTTGAAAAAAAAAAATAAAAACAAATTTTTAATTTATTAAAAAAAAAAAAAAAAAAAAAATATTTTAGTATTTTTTTAAGCTCACAAGAATTGTATTGCCCAGCTAAAATAATTTAAAATTGGAAAATAAAAAAATAATTTAAATTCCTCTGGTATTGTTTACCAGGTAATTTATCTAAATAAGTAATTTTAAATCTATAATTTGGC